ATGTCTAACTTTAACCAAGTTAGCCATCAATGACCAAGATGACGGTATCTCTCTCCCTTCCCCCTGAATACTACTGAATGTCTAACTTTCACCAAGTTAGCCATCAATGACCTAAATGACGGTATCTTTCTCCCTTCCTCCCGAAGACTACTGAATGTCTAACTTTCACCAAGTTAGCCATCAATGACCTGAATGACGGTATCTTTCTCCCTCCCTCCCGAAGATTACTGAATGTCTAACTTTTACCAAGTTAGCCATCAATGACCTGAATGACGGTATCTTTCTCCCTCCCTCCCGAAGACTATCGAATGTCTAACTTTAACCAAGTATTTCTTAGTCTGTAGACCACTTTCTTGTGCTATTTATCACAAAACAAAACGAGACTACAGAAAATAACATATGCTAGCCCACCAGTGGTACAGCGGTGTTTCCGCGGACTTACAACGCTAAAAATCTGGTTTCGATACCACTGATGCACAGATAGCTCTTTGTGTAGCTTTGTGTTTAACCACAAACAAAAAAATTCTAATCTTTTGTTGTATTTTACCAATTGTTTTGTAAAATTAATTTCCGCAAAATATTTTTTTTCTTAGTTTGTTCGTTGTTAAGCACAAAGTTTTTACAATGTGGTAGCTTTGTTCTGCCAACCGCACGTATCGAACCCCCAGATTTTAGAGTTATAGGTCCTGAAACTTACCGTTGAGCCACAGGGAATTATTGATTTGTGTTCCATCTCTCCTATACATGATAAATATTTTTAAAACAATAACACGAAGTATTAGATTTGTTTGTTCTATCATGATTCAGATACTTTAGTGATAAAAAATTGACGCCTTAGTCATAAAGACAATTATGCAGGTTTACGGGACCGTAGAATTATTTAAAAACTATCAGGTGTGAAATTCTGCCGGCACTCATCGGTACTGGATACCAGAACGTATTCTTTAAGGCGGTACTAGTACTTGAACTGCTTTGTCGTTTTTTTGTACGTTAATAGGTAGATTTCTTTTTTAAAAACAGATCCATTTCAGCCAGCTGAGTACCTCTTTATTCATTAATTTTTGATAATTTAATCCCTGACCCCTATCGCACTTATGAAACCCAGTTCCATATACTAAACATAGAGGTGTCCAAGAGTCCCTCTACATAGTTTAATAATATATTTTTATACATTATTTCTAATCAGTTTCTACTCAAAGAATCGTTGGTTAAGTATATCACTGCATGCGCATGCGCTGGAACTAGAAAGAGGAAATGTGTCGGGCACTAAAAGGACATCTTATTTGATCAACTCCTTAATTACGTTAAGCTAAAACGTTGTATACATGTCATAACGTGCAGAATTTCAACTGAATCACGTTATCTGCTTGATTATATATTTCTCTAGCGACACTCTACTATAAATATACATACTCTAAATCAGTTCTGAGTACAATCATAACCTAAATAGTTAAATAACAGTAACTAAAAAAAACGATAAAATTGAAATCATTGTAAATTTAATTAAATAAATTTGTGATTTATTAAATATAAATTACTCCAGAGATTATTACACTTTCAGTAGACTATAACGGTAAAGAAAAGTTTCAATTCGAATTGTGAGTTTGGACGTAAAAAGACGCATTCTTGTTCAGATTGGTTATTTTCCATCAGCGTATCACGAAATCATTTTTCATTCCAAAACTTTAACAATCCTTTATCTAAATATATAGAGGGCCAGTTGAGGTTTTGCGGCAAAGTCGTGCGAAAGTCAATTAGTTTTTTTTTTTATTCTTACGAAATAAAACAAAATGTCAGGGGGGCTTCACGTTCTACCACATCTCTATGTTGTAAATTCAAACAATAGGCTGATCAAATATGTTAGGCGTGACGTACATAGACATGGTAACGTTAGAAAAATTTAATATTCTTCTTGTAATAAAAGTTCTAATATATATATATAGAGAGAGTTGAGGTGAAAAAAACTGTAATAAAACTAAAGAAGAATAGAAAAACAAACAGTACATAAGTATAAAAATTATGTCTTTTATTCAACAGTAGTTGAAAAAAAAATCCAAAATTTATTAAACACATTTTAAACTTTGAGTTCGAGTAAAATGACAAACTAAAATTTAACGTCAATTTTAGATCCGTACATAAATATCTAAGGTACTTGAACTGGTGAACGTGGCCAAGGAACTCATGTAAGGTACTTGAACTGATGAACGTGGCCAAGGAACTCATGTAAGGTACTTGAACTGATGAACGTGGCCAAGGAACTCATGTAAGGTACTTGAACTGATGAACGTGGCCAAGGAACT